TAACCTCTTGCGCCACCAGGGAGGGCCAAGAGAGGTAGTTGTGGTTTTGAATCAAGTCAAGACTTCTTTGTTTCCTCTAAGTTGTGTTTAAAAACTGAATAGTTTCTTCCTTAGTTTATCTCTGTGCAGGCTAAAGAAAATCAAATGGCACTTTCACCATTCTTAGACAGTTCCTTAGCCAGATTATTTTTTTATTTTCCATATTATTGCATGTGACAGTTTAAACTGAGTGTTTTACCAGTATGTAAAATGGATCTTTTCTCCCATTTCTAGTAACAACTTCCTCACTGTTCTTCCAGCCTCCACTAATAATCTGTGGACATTCTTCAGGTCTCTACTTACTTTCTGGTCTTGATGTCAGTGCTACAAATTTCTGTTCTGGTTGTGTGTGGTTGTGTAGCAAAATTATGCCCAAATCAGTGACTTAGAACAATTGTATAATTTTTATATAATTTAATGGGTCAAGAATTCAGCTCTGAGGCTGAAGAATCCAATTCATTGGTGACTTTCGCAGTCACAGGTCAGGAAATTTGGTACTCCTTGGCCTCAGTTTCTTTCCAGGTAGTGTCATCTTCTTGGGCCCCTTCCGGTTGTTTAGATACCTTACAGCACGCTGGTCAAAGGGCAGTCACGAGGAGTTTTGCCAGAATGAATGACACAAGAGTCAGCGCCTCATGCCCGTGGGGTCTGTTGCCGTCTTCTCTTTATCAAAGCCACTAAAGGGGGTTTACCCAGACTCAAAAGAGTAGCAAAATACACTCTTCCTCTTGATAGAGTAGTGACAAGGTCACATTGGAGAAAAGCATGTGGGGTGGAGATACTCTTATACTCTTTTATACTCTTATAAAACATCTTTGTGCTGTCTACCACAGGAAAGCAGTTTTTTCTCAGATCACCAGCCAGTTGAACCAGAACCTTAATAGGCTCATACTTTCTCATTAATCCATAATGTCTGTTCTGTTATAAATCAGATTTCTAAATATGTGTCTAGTGTCTGTTTGTTTTGGACTGTTTTTCTAGGCTCATGGTTTTTACCTCGGGGGCATTCTGGGGACAGTATTTGGAAACATTTTTGTTGTCACACTTGAGAGGGCTACTACTAGCCTGTGGTGGATGGAGGCTGGGGATGCTGCTAAACATCCTATAATGCGCAGGACAGCTCACCACAATTACCCAACTCAAGGTGTCATAATGATGAGGTTGAGAAATCATCATCTATAGCATTATATTGCTCTACCAATTAGCTTAATTAGTCCTGACAGCCCGTAGGGCAAGCCTTTGGTTTCTTCTCTAAGAATGCCTTGCTTATTTCTGGCCCCTTGATCTTTCCATATGAATTTTAGAATCAATTTGTTATGTTTTTAAGGAAAACTTTTATCTTTTTGATTTGGATTTCATTGTAAAAATATTTCTCCATGATGACAATTGATATATGATATTGAATCTTCTTACCTAACATGATACACCTTTCTTTGACTTAGTTCTTTGTCTCTCAAAACAGTTTTATTATTTAAAAAAACAGTTTTATTATAGAGGCAGCATTTCCAGCCTCTATCCACCACAGGCTAGTAGTAGCCCTCTCAAGTGTGACAACCAAAAATGTCTCCAAATACTGTCCCCAGAATGCCTTCCAGGTAAAAACCATGAGCCTAGAAAAATAATCCAAAACAAATAGACACATATTTAGAAATCTGATTAATAACAGAACAGACATTACGGATGAATGAGAAAGTATGAACTTATTTCCTTATTAAAGGCAAGTTTTTTATGCTAAATGGTTTGTTCCGTTGGCTAGTTAGTTATGAGGCTTTTGATATGTTGCTTTCCTCTTTTGGGCCTAATATCTCCAAGTATAAATAGGTGACATTAGGACTAAATCATGTCTAACAGACTTTTCATTCCCAGGTGACATAATTGAAATGTTAGAATTAAATTGAAAATTTTACAGTGCACAAACTGAAAGTTGCCAACTAGAAGGAGCTCTGGTCCGCTTTACTAGGCTGCTTTGAGGATACCTGTGTACTATCGGTAGCCACAGATGTGACGGCAAAGACCTCATCTTCTGGGGGAGGAGGAAAAATGTGACTCCTTGATATTTCTTTAATTACAGTTACCTGCGTAAGAAATTCTACTTTGGTCTTTGGTTGATGTTACTTGTCTTTCTGGCTGTGGGAGTAAAAAAATACAAGAAACACATTTTGAAACTAGGAGGAAATTTGTGAATCATCTGGTTTAATTTCTCCATTTGACAAATAAATAAACTATGATGTAGAGCTACTGCTCCTTTCCAAAGGACACACATGAGAGAGCCAAGGCTGGAACTCAGGTCCACAAATTTTACACTGTAGTCAGGGGGTTGGGAGAGAGGGAGAGTAAACAGTGGATATTTGTGGTGGGTCCAGTGGAGATAGGCATTGTGTTTAACTTTTAAGAGATTGAGAGTGTGTAGTCTGTGAATTCTCTGGAGCCCTATACAATACATACAATATATAATATTGTATGTATTGTATATATTGTATATAATATCATATGTGATGAGAGTATGTGTGTACATACATGCTGTTGTTTGGCTGGTGTTGTGACTGCTGGCTTCCAATAAATAGGATTGAACTTCTGTAACCCAGCCTTTACTTACAAAAAAGGGTAAATTTCATTGGCTTTAGAGATTAATTTATATTTTGGAATCATTTGGAAATACCTGCCTTTTATATTCTGGTTATCATAAACTTAGACTAATTTTCAGTTTATCTGTCATCTGATTTAATGATTTCCTGACTTCATTTTTTTCTTAGTGACTTTTCAAGTAAAGTACAGTAATTGGATACGCTTTTCAGAGAAGATTAAATTCAACTTCCCCACTAGTCATTCTTTTTCTAGTCTATTGTGACTGTTTTTGACATGTTTCTCCATAGTAATCTTATTATTTGTGACTCTCCTGACTTACCTTGATACAAATTAAAATTCTTTATTTCTGCATTTGTTTTAGGAATAAAATCTTTATACTTTATTTAGATCATTTTTCCTGTGAATATCATTAATCAGATTTTCAGCCTTTATTTTGGCTTAAATAATGCATCAAAATAAAAATTCAACTACTTCTTAAATGGAAACATTAACTTTTTTTTAAAATTAATTAATTTATTTATACAAACACTGGGTACAGTCAGAAGCGCGGAAGGGTGAGAGAATTCGCCAGAGACAGGGCAGGATGCAGAGCAGGCAGAGGGACCAAAGTACACTGCTGAGGGGAGCAGAGGGTGGCAGGAGAGGTCTGCGCGCCATGTGGGACCCTCCTCCGGTGGCCGGGAAGCATCCTGGGATCAAACCGGTGCCGTGGAGGCTGCGGGCAGCTTCGCAACCCAGCGCTCAACGGCTGCGCCACCGGGGAGGCCCCCCAAAATAAAAAGTCAACTACTTCTATCTATGTTGACAGAATTAAAATCTATTGTTTTTCAGTGCAAGACAATACAACACAATGTATTCTTTCTTAACAAGCTAAAGAAAAAGATCCTCTGAGAAAATTATGCATTCAGTTAACTTTTTGTTATTTAAATTTGTCTAGATCACACCTGATAAAGAGAATTAGTTTGTATTTAGAGCTTCCATGTATTAATTCAAGAAATGATGCTGATTCCTAGAAAGGATAGGAACAGAGTATCAAGACTCGGAATAAGGACATTGAGTAGTTTTCAACTTCTCCAAATTGTATTATTTTTTAAAATTTTTAAAATTTTATTTTATTATTTTTTTAAAGATTTATTTATTTATGCATATAAGAATTGGGGTGCAGGCCAGAGATCCAGGGGTAAGAGGATTCACCAGAGAAAGAATGGGGAGGAGAACAGGAAGATGTATTGAAATACACTGCTGAGGGAAGCAGCAGGCGAGACAGGAGAGGTCTGCTGTGCCAGGTGGGTCACCTCCCTGGCTGGGGATCGAACTCTTGGTGCAGTGGCTAAGGATAGTTTCATCATGCTGTATCTTAACCCTCTGTGCCACCAGGGAGGCCCCATCCATCCACTTTCTGAGGTATATCTTAATTTCTTCCAAATTTGGGTAATTATAAATACAGCTGATATAAAATTTTTTGTGTAGATATAAGCTTTCAGTTCACCAAATTGTGTTTCTACACCAAAACTTCAGACTCAGTGTGAAGTATAAAATTCCAGGCAAGGGCTTCCCCGGTGGCGCAGCGGTTAAGCGTTGGGTTGCGAAGCTGCCCGCGGCCTCTGCGGCGCCGGTTCGATCCCCGGCTGCTCCCCGGCCACCGGAGGAGGGTCCCACATGGCGCGCAGACCTCTCCTGCCGCCCGCTGCTCCCCTCAGCAGTGTACTTCGGTCCTTCTGCCTGCTCTGCTCCCCGCTCTGGCTCTGGTGAGTTCTCTCACCCTCCCGCGCTTCTGACTGTACCCAGTGCATGTATAAACAAACAAACAAACAAACAAACAAATAAATAAATAACATGCCTCTATAAAAAAAAATAAATAAATAAAATTCCAGGCAAGGAGGGTTAATCTTTATTAGAAACAGTTATTCAGATGAATATAAGGCCAAATGATTGCTATGATAATATATTCTTCCTCAGCAAGTATTATTGAGAACTTATCTACTGATAGCTTCTATTTTCATACTTACCATCTATAAATTTCACCTGGAGTAAGGAGGCAGTAAAGATTTTGAGCTGGGTGAAAGTGGCTTACCCTCACATCCCATTAAGAATCTTTAATTGTGAAAACCAAATGATAAGAGAATAAATTTATTTAAAATGTATCACCAATTGGATTTCTGTTTTTCTTCACAATTTGTTTGGAGAGCATAATGAATAAATATTTTTAAAAAATTGTTGGGTAAATTTAACTACAATGGTTTGAGTAACTCTGAACTTATTATATGAAGTTTGAAATTATTATATAAATTCTCAAGGATAAAAGTGGGGACTAATGTGGGGATATCTTGTGTCCTACTGATTGCAATAATGGAGATTGCCTTCTTGGTTTTTAGATTTCCTCCTTCCTCACCCCTGAAACCATATCCAAAGAAGCTTCCCTACCAAAAGGATGTTATTAAATTTCCAGAGTGGAATGATCCCCCACTGGGCACTTCACAAGAGAACATTCCTGTGAGGCCAGTGGTGATGGTAAGTGCCATTATTAACAGATGGGGACCAACAGCTGGAAGAAATAGTCTATGACCCACCAGACTTAAGTATTTTAAACTTTTTTTGGTCATTTATGAACAATGCTCTGAAAGTATTTTAGAGCAATATCTTACCTGTGAGTAGCTGAGAAACTGGTACCAAAGATTGTCTTTTTGCGTTTTTTTTTTACTCTTGCTTATTAGCTATTTTTCCATGTTCAAACCTAGTAGGTTTCTGTTAAAGCTACCTTATAATCTATTTTCCTTTCTGTCCTATAGTTTGTTCTTCTTCCTTTTATCTCCTTACTGAACTTTATTATAATTGTCAGTTGAGAGAGAGAAGTTTGGAGCATGGCGTGAAATGGGATCAGCCCTAACACAGTATTGGAACAAAGGTAGATTCTGCTAGTCTTGGTAAACCTAAGCTCACTGAGGCATAAACAGCCTTCTTGGTGGAATACTTTTTCCTTAAAATATTTCCAGTAGAAGTGTATTTGTTACATAAATGCAGCAATTTTTATGCTTGATTAAAAAAAAAAACACCTAATTTATTTATATATATATATATATATTTTTTTTTTTAAAGATTTGTTATTTATGTACACACAAGCTAGGGTATAGGCCAGAGGTGTGGAGTGGGTGAGAGGATTCATCACCAACAGAGTAGGGAGCAGAACAGGTGGATTGACTGAAATACACTGCAGAGGGGAGCAGCAGGTGAGACAGGAGAGGTCTGCTGCACCATGTGGGTACCTCCCTGGCTGGGGATTGAACTCGTGCTGCAGTGGCTGCCTATAGCTTCATAGTGCTGAGACTTAACCCCTTGTGCCACCAGGGAGGCCTTAATTTACATTCTTTTTTTTTTTTTTTGAAGATTTATTTATGTATGCAAGAATTAGGGTACAGGTCAGAGGTGTGGAGGGTGAGAGGATTCACCAGAGACAGAGTGGGGAACATAACAGGCAGAGTGACTGAAATAACTAAGGGGAGCAGTGGATAAGTCAGGAGAGGTCTGCTGCACCATGTGGGTAGCTCCCTGGCCAGGGATCGAACTCGTGCTGCAGTGGTTGTCCGTAGCTTCATAGGTTGTGTCTTAACCCCTTGCGCCACCAGGGAGGACCCCTAATTTATATTCTTTAAAAAAAAAAAAAAAATCACAAGCTCATTTGGCCTTCAAATTTCTTTTGTAATTCAGAATTCTCCCAACACCAAATCAAAGTCAAAAACAACCTTCTAGCTTTTTTTTAATAGATTAATAAGATTTTTCTTTAATACTTCTGCAAAAACTATTATAGAAACTTTTTGTGATTTATTATATGTTCTGCCTTTAAAAGTTAATTCTCATGAAATGTCTATAATATGCAAATTCTTAGAGATGGAAAGTGTATTAGTAGTTGCCATGGACTGGAGAGCAACGGACAGACACTCTTAATTGGCATAGGGTTTCTTCTGTGTTGGTGAAAATTTTCTCTTCTCAAATTAGATTGTGGTGATGGTTGCGCAACTCTGAATATACTAAAAATCATTGACTTGTACACTTCAAAAGGTTGAATCTTATATAAATTATGTTTCAATAAAGCTGTTGTTAAAAATAAGAGTTCAGAGATGGGCCTCCCCTGGTGGCGCAGGTGGTTGAGCACAGCGCTGTGAAGCTGTCTGTAGCCTCTGCAGTGTGGGTTTGATCCCAGCCTGCTGGTGAGGGTCTCAACATGGCGCAGCAGACCTCTCCTGTCGTGCCTGCTGCTCCCCTTAGCACAGTATTTCATTAGTCTGCCTGTTCTGTTGCCCGCTCTGTCTCTGATGAATCCTCTCACCCTCCTGTGCATCTGGCCTGTACCCTGGTTCTTGTATAAATAAATAAATAAATCTTAAAAAAAAAAAAAAGTTCAGAGTTCTTCTCTGAGATCACCAAAAGGAAATTTTAATACTTATGTTTCATAGTCTGAATTTGAGAAAGGCAATACTTAGAATGTTGTAGTGGTAAAGCTGTGTGCTTTTGGTCAAATTGTTAAACTTATCTGAGCTTTAGATTTTCTCCTTGCATCTCTAGCTGTCCTGTGGAGTTCTTGTTTTCCCTAATGTACTCAATGTACTTTTTGCCAATGCTTAAGTAAATCTGGAAGCTGCTCTCCAACATTACATGTGGTAATCTTCGCTTATAAAAAAACAGAATTCTTAAAAGTAACAGAGTTTAGCTTTTTCTTAAACAGTCACTAAATTTGTATAGTGTGTAGATTTGGATAGGTATTCTTTGATGTAATTTCGGATTAAGAAAAATATTTTCAGTGCTACTACACTGATTAGTTGCAACTTCCACCGGTCAAAAAAAGCTAGCGAATGTCTTATTGTCAGAACTGCAATTCATGAATATTTGTTTATAATATGACCTCATCTTTGTCATAGTTTGAGTCTCTGAAGACAGAAATGTTTCATAAAATCATACCACTGTCCATTAAAATATTTATTGTCTCTTTTCTCCCTCCCCCCTCAATTAGAATTCTGAGATGTGGTTCAAGCGTCACAGCATTGCTATTGGAGAGGTACCTGCTTGCCGTCTGGTCCACCGCAGACAGCTGACAGAGGCCAATGTAGAAGAGATATGGAAGTCTATGACATTATCCTAGTATGTGCATTTGCTATTAATGAGAACTTTCAGTGTTTTCTAATTTGCTTCTTGACAACTCTGCATATTTAATTTTGTATATTAAAAAATGCCTCAACTTTGAGTACATTATTTGCAACTCTGGTGCTTAGTAAAATATAGTTTGAGTTCTGGGAATTTTCAGTTGTCATTACGTAATAGCTAAGAACAGGAGTTTAAAGGTCGTTAAACTTTCTAGTAATGCTGAAATCTTAAGCTTAACAAAATACATAATAGAAAATTTGTCTAGATAGTTAATGCACTATATACAGGTAATTAAAGTTAATGACATTATAGAAATTGTTTCTCATGAAAATGTACTAGTAGCAGTTTTTGGATAAGCTTATGTTTTACTTGTATAGTGTCTTGTAAAATTATTTCCTTAGCATTGGAGGTGCTATTAAATTAGTGAAGCAATATGTTAATTGCAAAAGTGTATCTTTTAAGTTTGTTTTGACATACTCAATTTCTAGCCTTTTTGTCCCACAAAGGTTGGGTGAAATGTATGAAAATACTGTGTTTTAAAGGTCAGTATTTTGCAGTGCCATATTTTTGGGTAAATAATGTGTTTTTAAAAGTCATTATTATTTGTCTTTTTAGTTTACAGAAAACTCTTGGCCTGGGTTCCTTAGAAGAAGTTTTAGATGTTAAATTTGTTAACCCCAAGTTCATCATTCATAATGTTTATAGTGTGAGCAAACAGGGAGTTGTTATTCTTGATGACAAGTCACGTAAGTGCATATGAACCATCTTGTTCTCTATCAACTCAATACTTTGGTTGCATCAGCTTCTGTTTGACCCTTCCCTAAGCACTGAACAAATTTACCTTTTCATTTCATACATCTTTCTCTCATTGTCTACTACCTCTTAACTAATTGTTCAGATTAAGGAAATGTTATAAAAAGGTGGACATTGAGAAGTGAAAACCTCAGAAAAATCCATTAGATGCTAGTTCACTGTTAGCTATATTGAACATTAAGTGATTCCATATTATTCCTGGAAAATCCACGAAAAGTGAGTAAGTTTAAGACCTGAGGGCTTGTACTGATTTTAATATGGGTCCTGTGGTCCTGTGGTTGATTTTAAGATTCTAATTGACCTTTTCATTATGATGTCTTTTTATCATATTTTCTAGGGTAGTGTTGGTTTATGTTATTTTTTATTTTAATAAGAGTAACTCTTTAGGGCCTCCCCAGTGGCGCAGTGGTTGAGCGCTGGGTTGCGAAGCCGCCCGCGGCCTCTGGAGTGCCAGTTCGATCCCCAGCTGCTCCCCGGCCACCAGAGGAGGGTCCCACATGGTGCGCAGACCTCTCCTGCCGCCCGCTGCTCCCCTCAGCAGTGTACTTCGGTCCTTCTGCCTGCTCTGCTCCCCGCTCTGGCTCTGGTGAATTCTCTCACCCTCCCGCGCTTCTGACTGTACCCAGTGCATGTATAAACTAAACAAACAAACAAATAAAAATAAATAAAACATGCCTCTATTTAAAAAAAAAATATATAGAAATGCAAAGAAAGTTTTTTTTTTTTAAAAAAGTAACTCTTTAAATGTAGAAAGTGCTTCTCCTCTAACCCAGTTTACAAATAAGGAGAAAAGGACATAATAGCAGCTGCCTTTATTGGTTTTTGATTTGGAAAAATTAAGTTGTGGTACCTGTGGCAGACCAGAATCTGAAAGCTGATTCTGATTTAAATGTCCTTCTGGATCAGATTGGGGCAGCATAAGATAGTCTGTTTGACTGGTTTCTTCCTGTAGTTCAAATCCTTGATCCTGGGAATTGGCTGGAACTAGAATGATCTTTAGATATGGGAAGACGGTGTGGCACTTTAGGGATTTTATAAATTATCATTAAGTTTAAGATTAGAGTTTCCTGGGCAGCAGAGCTATATTAGAAAGAACCTGAGCGGGGGCCTCCCTGGTGGCGTAGCTGGGTAAGTCGCAGCACTATGAAGCTGTTGGCAGCCACTGCATCTTGAGTGGCCAGAGAGCTACCCACATGTTGCAGCAGACCTCTTCAGTCCCGCCTGCTCCTCCTCTCAGCAGTGTATTTCGGTTGATCTGCCTGTTCTGTTCCCCACTCTGTCTCTGGTGAATCCTCTCACCACCTTCCAAACTCTGACCTATACCCCAGTTCTTCTATGCAAAAATAAATAAATAAAATCTTAAAAAAAGAAAGAAAGAACCTGAGCAGTTGTGAGAGGGAAAGAGGACTTTCTGGCTGTGTTTTCTGATAGGACCTGAATGTGTCTTTGCAACTTGTAATGCTTTCCTTTTTATAGTCCCTGTGTCAGAAATGGAGGACATCAGAACACAGAAATAGATTTGTGATATCATGAGTTGTCAGATTAGTATAAACATATAAAATTAAATTCCATTGGGCAGCAGTCTCTCTGCCTGCCTGTGACTATGCAGGTGCTTCTTTTAATCAACTCTCTCCCTCTGCAGAGCAGCAGCTTCCTACCTGCACGTGACTTGTCCCATGCCAGGGCTTCTCTTCAGGCAGCTCTCCTCAAGGCCCCTGCCTGTGACGATGCAGGCCTCTCTCAGCAAACCTGTGCCTTTCCAGGCAGCTCTTCCTGTCCGCTTGTGTCTATGCAAGTGTCCTTTACTTTTCAGTCCCTTTTCAAATAAACCTGTTCTTTAAATATTAAAAAAAAAAAATTCCATTGAAAGAGGGGGTATGAAAAATATCTGAAATTCTTCCACATTGTCTTGAGTGCAGCAAACATTAATGCTTTTTAGCTGCCAGTTACATGACCAGTCATCTTTATTTCATGAAGTCAGCTCTTCAGAAAGAAGTGAACACTTCACAGGACTTAGGTTTATTACATTCAACATAGTCAAGTAGCATCTTTACAGTTTTATAGAGAAGTGGAGAAGATAAAGAAGTGGAAGTAAGAAGGCCGGCCTGTCGCATCAGATGTCTGTGACAGGGCCACCAGGAAAAAAGCCCCTGTACCAAATGATTAAGTGGGGACTTTTTGTAGCAATATTAACTATTTTTTTAAAGATTTATTTATTTATGCATACAAAACTGGGGTACATTTTGTGTTCTTTTTTTAAAAAGATTTATTTATGCATATAAGAGCTGGGGTATAGGCCAGAGGTGTGGGGGGTGAGAGTATTCACCAGAGACAGAGTGGGGAACAGAACAGGCAGACTGACTGAAACAGACTGCTGAGGGGAGCAGTGGGTGAGTCAGGAGAGGTCTGCTGAGCCATGTGGGTTGCTCCCGGGCTGGGGATTGAACTCATGCTGCAGTAGCTGCGGATTGCTTCATAGGTTGTGGCTTAACCCTTGCACCACCAGGGAGGCCCCAATATTAACTTATTTGAAGGCTGCTCTAATGCCAATAGCCTATAATAATATCAGTGGCACTCTCTTGCCTTTGAAAATTGAAACATGAAAAATGATACTTATATTGGACATTGGACATACAGAATATACTGTCATTTTTAAGGGGGGTAAACTGGCTTCACAGATGTATTGATATTTGATGGCTAATACTTTTGTTGTATCTTTTATAATTATTAGAGTAATTAATTTGTCTGTTAGTTTATTTGAAAGAAACCAGCAAATTTCTTCTTTTCACTGATGTTTTAAAAGGTATAACTTTTCATTAGAGAAATTTGGATGCCTGAAAATTATAATGTGGTACTACTGTTAAGGAAAAATTTCCATGGTGTAAGTGTTCTGATACATAAATAGGTAATTTATGAATAGCAGATATGTTTCGTGTTAATTGGGCAAGAAATGTGTTCTTATAATACCAAGTATGTATATAATTCTCAGAATAATCCTGCAATTAAATAAATGCCTTTATTTCCATTTTTTTGCAGAAGAACTTCCTTATTGGGTACTGTCAGCTATGAAGTGTTTGGCAAATTGTAAGTACTAGTTCTCTGCTAGTTTTATGAGATTAGTATCCTGAATTATAACATTTTTGCTCAGTAGTTTGAATGTTGATTTGATTCCTATGAATCTGATGGTTAATTATTTTGGGACTACTGTGATTTTACTGATAATTTTGTGATTTAGTGAAAGGACTGAATTATAGAACTTTTTTTTTTTAAATTTATTTAATTATATAAGCACTGGGTACAGTCAGAAGCATGGAAGGGTGAGAGAATTCACCAGAGCCAGAGTGGGGAGCAGAACAGAAAGACTGATGAAATACACTGCTGAGGGAAGCAGCGGGCGCGGCAGGAGAGGTCTGTGCGCCATGTGGGACCCTCACCATGGGCTGGGGATTGAACCGGCGCTACAGAAGCTGTGGGCAGCTTCGCAGCCCCACGCTCAACTGCTGCACCACTGGGGAGGCCCCTGAATTATAGAACATTTTTAATGGAAATTTTGTGCTTTTGTTTTCTAGTAGATATAATCACACTGCAAATAAGCTGTACACACTTCATACTGTTGTCCATCACAGGAAAGAAAAATTAGAGATAGTGATTGATTGTAGCAACTGCTTGTTAACAGTTCACAGGTTTTTATTCCTAAAAATCTAAATTTTTCTTCATAAAAAGATGCCTGTACTTCTATATTGGTTTGCTGGACTGATCCTGGCTACTATTGGTTTTTCCTAGGGCAGTTGTTTAAATGGGAGGGAAATGTTATAGATGACTAATCTAACTGATAAGCAAGATGGCTTAGAAGAAGAATCACCTGCATGCAGAGAAATGAGAAAGTTTATTTTAGTGCTTTAGATGTAAAATGAGGGGACCAGGAACAGATCACCTTGAGCATTTTCATAGGTACATGATATGTATTTTATAGGCATGAAATCTGTTTCATATGCTATCCACTTCACTGACTATCATAGACACTGTGAAGGAATGCTTTAGTACAGTATCTTGCTATTATTCCATTTTCCTATGGTTTTTCTGAAGCCTTAATCCAAAGAAGGGATTCTAATATTAATATCTTAACCAAAACAAGTGATTTTAATAAGAATTCTTGTTATTTTGACCGGCAGATAATGATGTTGTTTTATAGGGCCTTTGAACCTCATAGATCACTGAGAAAGGTGGTTTCTTCAATTTTGGATAGCACTAGCTCTATTATGATAGATATATATATTCTTGAATTAGTAGACCCTGCATTTTTATTTATTTGTTTGTTTGTTTGTTTGTTTATTTTAAAGACTTATTTATTTTTATACAAGAACCGGGGTACAGGCCAGATGCACGGGAGGGTGAGAGGATTCACTGGAGACAGAGCGGGGAACAGAACAGGCAGACTGACGAAATACACTGCTGAGGGGAGCAGCGGGTGAGACAGGAGAGGTCTGCCTTGCCATGTGGGTTGCTCCCTGGCCGGCAATTGATCTCAGAGGCTGTGGATTGCTTCATAGTGTGGTGCTTATCCCCTTGCACCACCAGGGAGGCACCCCCCCCCCTGAATTTTTATTTAACTGGAGTTAGTTTTGTTTGATTATATGGAATGAAACTGAACTATTCAGTTTTATTTGGGTAATCTCAGTGGAAACATAATATTTTGAACATGAATTGCAACTGACATCCTGAATATGAACAGCACTATTAGTTTCTATGAAGCCCAAAGTTCTCTATTTAACTTAAAATTTTCACTGCTTTTGGTTGATATTTTGGAAACTTTGAGATAGAGAGAGTACTGTGGTTTTAGCTTAGGGGGGTGCTTTCCATTTTTCCTGCTCAGCTATTTGAAGTAAATTATATTTAAATTATATCTTTAGCTAGAGTTGGAAGTGATGACATAGAAGGTATAAATGGGAAGTTAAATTACCCATTTCTGAATTCCTGGCAAGCCAAGTAGTTGGCAGTTGATCAGCTGAGAATGAACAGAGGAAGCTAACAAAACCTAAGTAACAAATCTAGGCAATAGTATGTTTTAAAGTATATATTAGGATGTGGCTATGATACTAAATTTTCAGTGATGATCAAAATGTAATGAAGAATTTTATTTTCCCTCAAGCAAGAATTATATACAAAGCAACAAAACTGTGACAGAAAGGTTAGACTAACTGGAGTTATCTATCACTGGAGAGAAAGATGTAAGAATGACTTAGTACTATTCTTAATGTGTGTGAGGTGTATAGAACAGGGACATGTCTTCACATCCATCAAGTGCAGTGCTTTGTACATATTTTGTTTATGTGTTAGAGGAAAAAAGGTGGCCAAAGGGCAATGTCAGCCTTTTGAATAGCTTTGTAAAATCATTAAGTTTTACAGAATTCTCATTGTGCCACCCACCCCCAACTTTACCCCCCCCCAACTTTAACCTGAGTCTATTAAGATCATGATCTTGTTCTTCTTATCCTTAAAGATTCTAGATTTCCATGATAGTCATTTATTAGGGAATATAAAATTTAGGCTGAATATGTGGTATTTTGAGTCCTCTGCCTCCTTTTCTGCGAGTCTACAGCTTAGTTCTCCCCCATAGGCCCATCTGCATTTATTGTTGACCATGTGCACAGAGGCCTGTGTGCTTTTGTTGTTGGCCAGACTAATATTTGACCACATAGGAACTGAGACTAAATAAATAAAAACCAGGCTAATTGTGTTTTCTTTTCTTCTTTATTATGTAGGTTGTCAAAAATGAAAAGGCAGTTATTTACCACAATCTATCAGTAAACTAAAAAAAAACTAAGTTTAACTATCTATCAGTAAACTAAAAAACTAATTTTATAAAACATTGTGAAGATCAAGGTGATAAATAAGCATAAGATCTTTCATAGGGCTCACTATGTACTAGCATTTTTAGGAAAACTTTTTTTGTTGTTTTATATATTTTTAACAGGTGCAAAAAAAGACAAAGAAGCAAAAAATTGAAAAATTTTTTTTTAAGATTTTTTAAATTTATGAATAAAAGAACTGGGGTGCAGGACAGAAGTACAGGGGTGAGAGGATTGACCTGAGACAGAGTGGAGAGCAGAACAGGTGGATCTACTGAAATACACTGTTGAGAGGAGCAGCAGGCAAGACAGGAGAGGTCTGCTGCACCATGTGGGTCAGCTCCCTCCCTGAGAATTGAACTCAGGCCACAGTGGCTGGCTGTAGGTTGATAGCACTGAGACTTTAGCCCCTGTGCCACCAGGGAGGCCCAAAAAAGACATTTTTAACAGGAATGGTGAAATGTTCACAAATAAGTACAACTGCTTAGAATGACATGCATACTTATGCTGGGAGGGAGTAATTTGAGGCAATATGTATTGACTGTTGAGGCATACCAAGCTAATTATTTCAACTCACTAAACTTGGATGTTTCAGAAGAGAAAGCAAGCAAAAATGGTGGCCTCATTGGCTGCTACGTTAATGTGGTAACACATATATAGATCTTTCATAGTTTTCATGATTTTGTTACAGGGCAGGGAGGAGGGGGTACCCCATACCCTGCAAATCTGCCTGCTCTAAATAGGTTCTGCCATCCGCTGCATCAACACAAATTAAATCAAATTAAATTATAAGAAGTATGCAGAATATGAAAAGGCAAGAGATTTTTTAAAGATTAACAAAAAGCTATTTTCGTAGTGCCCATGAAATATAAAGGCCCAGAATGCTGTACTGTTCTTTTTACATTTGATCCTTTTCATTTAAATACAAAGATTCTGTTGGAAAAATTCAGTTTTTATTGTGTTCACTTTCATCCTCTTGAGGGTACAAATCTATTTGGGTACAGTTGTTTACTCTTGTGTTATAGTGGGCCAGACTGGCCAGTACCTTTGCACTCCTTTCTTCCCTGCTGTAGTAGAAATCAAGAAGGTTAACTAACCTATTCCTCATGGGACTCCTTGCCATTTCTTTCCCTCAAGGTGTAGATAGATCCCATTGTTTTCTTCACTGGGCAGTGAATCTGTGGTCTGTGTGTGTATTGTGGTGGGGGGCACGGGGGTTGGGGGGCGGCATTTGCTACCAGTTCTGTGGAGAACTACTAAGTGTTTCTTGTTCTTTGTTGCCAAATACAAGTGGATCTTTTTCTTGCTTTTGGCATAGGATATGGCTGGCACCAGGCTGTTTCAGGCGTTTTATACTTATTCTGTCTTTGCACTATGACGGCTTGATAAAATATAGTTTTATAATCAGAACAAAAATAAGATAAAATGTTAAATCTCCTTTTAAGAAAAAAGAGTACAAAATTCTTATTATTCTGAAATCGTTGCAGAAATTATTTCACTTAACTCTTACTCTAAAATTTTATAGTAATGACAAAATAATGAAACTTTTAACAGTAAAACTTTATAACTTATCTGTTAGTATGTGAGATAATGGTTTTCTTGGTCAACTATCTAGTGACACTAGGAAAATACTATTTCAAAAAAAACTGTCATTGTTTATATTTTATGAAAATGCCTGTTAGGACATAAAAGAGAGTGGGCTTCTTCTTTTTAAATGGTAGTCAGCCACTGATCTTCCTCATTGTTTTATAATAGCTTTCAATTTAACTATTTGTATTAAATTGACTGTGTTGGTTGTGCAAACAAATGTATATTGTGTTTTTCCTAGGAAAATATTTTTGACTACCCTACATATGGGGAGACTAATACTTGGAAGTGATTTACCCTGTTAATGTTTCTCTCTCTTTTTTTAAAACAGGGCCTAATTGTTCTGATTTGAAACAGCCTATGTACTTAGGATTTGAGAAAGATGTCTTTAGAACAATAGCAGATTACTATGGTCATTTGAAAGAACCTCTGCTTACATTTCATCTTTTTGATGCCTTTGTCAGTGTATTAGGTAAGTTGAATTACAATGAGCATGTATCTGCATTATTGATATGGAATCATGTCATTTCACTGTCTTGAGAATTTCATTAGCCAAAGCTCATAGCATTTTTGAAAATAAAAACTTATCAGGTGCTTGCCTAGTTGGAGTTCTGCTCTGTGAAGGAGGAAAGGAAGATGGTCAACCTGTATTATGAAGCTCAAAGCAAGGACCAAGAGTTTTTATTTATTTTTTTATTTTTTAAAAAGATTTATTTTATTTATACAAGTGCTGGGGTACAGGCCAGATGCGCGGGAGGGTGAGAAGATTCACCAGAGACAGAGTGGGGAACAGAACAGGCAGACTGACGAAACACACTGCTGAGGGGAGTAGCGGGCTAGACCGAGAGGTCTGCTGAGCCATGTGGGATACTCGCAGGCCAGCCCGGATTGAACCCGCACTGCAGAGGCTGTGGACAGCTTCACAGTGCGGTGCTCAACCACCTGCGCCACCAGGGAGGCCCAAGAGTTTTTATTTTTTAAGAAAGAGTAATATATGCCATTTGTACAAAATAGTAGAAAAATGTAAATTTGCCATTTACTGATTATGAGTAAATCTGCCACTCTGGATGTGACTTCCTGAACCATTGAAATATGTAAGTTTTTCATTTAGAAGTTAACCTCTTTTTGTGAAAAAAAAAAAAAAAAAAAAAAAAAAAAACAAGTTTTTGTAGTACTATTTGTTGTCTAAGAATGTGTTAAGTGGAAATAAAGTCTCAATGATAGTTCCACAGTGGGTTTATTAGATAACCAAAGTGAGAATTTGAACCCAGGAAGCAGTTGGACAGATTTTACTCTGTGAGAGCTATTCCAATAAACACCAATTTGAATTTTGTATATATAGGTAGGAATAGTAAATCATTGGCATTAAAGATGTAATTATTCTTGATAGGAGGGGCTTCTAGTTCTGAACTGTCCTGACCTAAATCTTTGCTTATGCTGGAGAAAGGAAATGCAGCATTTAATCTCATCCTTTCTAAAGAATTGGCTGCAGAGATGCAAAGACTGGGTACTCATTGTTACACCTTTTTTAATCTGGCTCCTTGCTGAACAGTTAGGGTGAAAAGACTTGCTTTACCTCTAGGCATCAGATTTTCGGTTGCTGTTTAAGAAATGCAGAGGGTTTTGCTGGTGAGGAGGGTACACCAGGTAAGAGAGCCAAGCCATACAGAATTTACACTGATACAGTGTATTACACTGTATTACACTAATGCAGAATTTACACTGTCAAAGAAACATGGTAAAAAGAAATCAGCATTTTACTATAGGTCTTTCTGTTATTCCTTTTTTTTTGGAAATCAGATTTTCCTGTTGCTGTTATGATTGTTCAATGTGTAGTATCATTTTCTTGTCAAAAAACTTGCTTTAAACATTAAATTGTTCTGTGGATATCATATGTTATGTAAATTTTGGTATTAACATTGTTTTTTTTTTTGAGTATTGGCTTTATAGCATTCTTTCCCCTTTCTTGTCTCTATCTTAATTTCTTTTTGGAAAAATGAATGCTGCCATAGTATCCTAACAAAAATGTTTCAGTAATATGTAAATAACTTACCTGATCACATAGCACAATACTATGGATTTTAAAATTTTTTGTAGATTCTCTGATAATAAGAAATAAAATCCAATAATTGTGTGTATAAAAGTGAGTTTGTTTTTAGAGAGACCATTATTGGGAACAGATGAAGGCATTTAGATCTATTATCACTGGGTCTTCTTGGTATTTTGTTTTCAACCACGGAGGATTGAGGGTTTTTATATTTACGAATATCACGCTAAATGATAAATACTTGTTGTTTAATATGCATGTAGACTAATGGAGTAGATTCCCATTACAGTCACTTATTAACTTGATGCCACTAGTAAAATAAGAGTTCTGAAGACTAGATTAAAAAATCACTTCTTTGATTTTCTTCTCACTTTGCATTTTCATAATGTTATATAGTAAAATTATCTGGTTTGGAAATAAAAGAACTTAGAGGTAAAAAAAAAACAAGAACCCAATATGAACCAGTTATACATAGAATGTCCCTGATCTATAACACTACAGTTGTTTATTTTGTGAACATTTTAGAATTAAAACTGCTTCCAAATTGATGTTGGAGTTATCCACGCTGACATCCCTCTATAGAGGTTTTGTATGTGAAAGGATTTGGGAAGAATGGAGACTTGCACTTTGCTCTCAGCAAGAATAGATGTGCATGCCCATGATACATTAACTTTACCTCCTCTGTTCCTTTTCATGCGAATATACTTGAGACACCCTGTGTTGAAAACCACTTTTAAAAAGATCTTTATGTAATGAAAGAAGAAAATAGTCTAAAATTCTATACATAGGTTGAATCTCAGTAAGGTTGACTTACTTCTGAAATTTTGTTACTTACTTTGATTGGAATAGGATTCCATTACATAAAATACTTTGAAGTAGGTAATCAGCATACTTCGTGGAGCCTAGAAATTCCATAACATTTTCAATGGAAATGATTTTTAGTTTAGTTAATGATTTTAGTTAAAACTTCTTTTGAGGTTTATTCCTTCACTTCTAGCATTGAAAGAATGCTACCTTGATGCCCAAACTGTGATCCTGAGAGCAGTTATTATTATTGATACATGAAACAGAACATCTAAGAGTTCTTTTTAAACCTGAATAAAAATTTATATTTAGGACATGGAAAACTTATTCTTTACTTAAATTTAAAAAAGAATTTAATTAGTCTCAGCAGTCTGATTTAATAACCTAACTATCTATAGTATTAATCTTCATTTCCAGTTGTAGTTCCTTATATTAAGATTAGAGTTCAGAACCTCCCCTGGTAGCACAGGCAGTTGAGCACAGCCCTGTGAAGCTGTCCATAGCCTCTGCAGCACAAGTTCGAGCCCCGCCAGCTGGCGAGATTCCCACATGGTGCGGCAGATCTCTCCTGTCTCGCCCGCTGCTCTCCTCAGCAGTGTATTTCAGTCAGTCTGTCTGTTTTGTTCCCTGCTCTGTCTCTGGTGAATCCTCTTACCCTCCTGCAATCTGGCCTGTACCCCGGTTCTTGTATACATAAATAAATAAATCTTAAAAAAAAAAGATTAGAGTTCAGCTGACTCCTGAATAGGACAGTATCCTTTATTTACACTCCATGTGCATCTAGAATCCATTGGCTGTGTAGCACGCAGTAATTCGGCACATTGGGGAAAATGAAGAGTCAGATAGGGAGCACAGAATGACATGGCAGAAGGGAATAGTGTTTCAGAAAATTGGATGTTTTTTGTGTTGTATAATGTTACAACCTGAGATTCCCATGCTGGTGACTTATAGGCCAAATCTGGCATATAAATGCATATAATTTGACTTGTGTGTTTTAAAGAAGGAATTTAATTAATTATCAAACTAAGAATAAGAGATTCATATAAGAATATTTTTGGCTTGTGAAAAGTTTGAAGATTTGGCAGTCCTGGGCTTGAATTTTCAGTGTAAGAAGCTGCTGCAAGTGTTTTGGGGACATGAGCTCCAATTTGCCATTTTGCCAATACTCCCCATTTCTACTCAGATGCTGAAGTTAAGTTCATTTGATTTTGATCCCTTTTGTTCATTTCTTCCATTTGTCTGCTCTTTTAGGCAGCTGAGCTTGCAACTCCTGGTTTATTTTTTTTGGTAAGCTGAAAGACTAGGATAATAAATTTTTGAATTCCTTCCTCCTAAGTATTATGTTTAGAAATTGCCATTGAAATTCACTAGGCTGACTGTATCCTGGATCATCTAATGCAGTGGGTTGAGATCTCCTCCTATGTCATTGAACCTAGAAATATCCATAAAGTTAGAGTTTCCATTCTTTGGTTCTTTTGTCCAGTGATTTCTAGGAGATCTTGTGGAGCTGTGTGCTGTCTTTGCCTCTTTACCTTTCTGCCCTTATATTCTTCAGCTAATCTTTGGCTTATCCCATTGTCATTTATAAGGGAACGCTGTTCTTTTTTTCAGAGGGTGCCCACTTGGTGCATGTGACCAGGTGCTCTTAACCAAGTTAGCTGAAAGCTCTTTTTTTTTTTTTTTAAAAAGATTTGTTTATTTATACATCTAAGAACTGGGGTACAGGCCAGAGGTGTGTGGGGTGAGAGGGTTCACCAGAGACAGAGTGGGGAACAAAACAGGCAGATTGACTGAAATACACTGTTGAGGGGAGCAGGATGAGACAGGAGAGAGGTCTGCCACGCCATGTGAGTTTTTCTCTGGCCAGGCATTGAACTTGTGCTGCAGAGGATGCGGACAGCTTCATAGTGTTGTGCTTAACCCCTTGTGCCACCAGGGAGGCCCAGTCGAAAGTTCTTGATATCTGTGCCCTGTGCTCTCAGGGCCCAGTGCTTATGGCTGGAGCTTTTGAAGGCATAGGTGGGTCAAGTAAGGATGTTGAATTATTTCCAGATAGCATGAGTGCTATTCTTTCAAAATTGTTAGAATAAAGTAGAGTAGATGCTCCTTAAAAATTAAAATTTTGGCTATAACTAAATTCATAAACTCTAAGTATACCATTATCTACTAGGATAATTGGGGGAAAGTTTAAGTCCTTCTCACACTGGATTAGAGAATTAAATGTACAAAATGCAAATTTCAAATGCAGTTGATATTTATCCAATATTAGGGTAGGTAAAAGATTAAAGAGAAGTTATAAAAATGCTAATAGTAGTTTTGGGACCTCCCATGTAGGAAAGGACATTATCTTGTGCATGGGTGAATACCTACTTTTAAACAAATCACAAAGGTGACTAGTTTTCCTTTCCTCTGGAGAAATATACTTGTCCCTCTTTTCCTAGTTGCTGTGTCTTCCTTTAGGCACGGAATTCTCGTAAGTAGATGTATTGTTTGAATCCTGTAAGTTTAGTATAGACCTTTTCCTTTTTATACCTGCTCTCAGTGAAAGTGAAACTGATTTTTTTTTTATTCTCTTGGTTTGAAAATTATAGTGAATCGTTCTTGAATTTCTTATTCTCTGGCTGAACAGACATTGATCTTTCTGGAAGTTTGGACCATCTCAAAAGTCTGTATTTCTCTTCTTTTTGAGCTTCCATAAAGACTAGCCCATTGCTAACATTGCATGGGTTTGTAGAATGACGAGGTCTACTTTGCAAAAATGAAAATTTGTGTTTCTAGGAGATTTTAAAATAGAAATCTGATGTAACCATTGGGGCATGGGAAAGAGGATGACAGAGATAGGTGTCACACAAAGCACTTAACAATTCTGAACCTGCCAGGTGGTCATCATGGCCAAAATGTCCCCTAGCTTCGAATATGGTAGCACTTTATACATTTCCATTGACTTTGATTTATTCATATTATATCCTGAGTATTAAATTTCTCTGAGATAATAGGATTTCTGAGTATTAAGTTATTAATGTACCCTTTCTCTAGCTAAATAAACAAAGAATTTCCCTGATAATAGAAAGTCTCAGGGTAAGTTGCTTAAGTTAATTGTTGGATTGCATATTGTTTTTTCATTATTTTAGTCTTATTTCAGCAGTGGAAACATCACTAAGCTAACATACCTTGACCTAGTTGTTCTTGGTTTGATAAATTGCTTTGCCTTTCTGGATTCCAGGTTTTTCATTGATAAATGGCAGTAATGCCTATCATACTTAGAAATATGAAAATATGAAACTTTAAACAATGGGTAATGTTCATTTTCCTTCTATGTATCTTTGTTTTGAAAAATACAAAAAATTACATTGCATAAATTAAGAGAATATTGTTATCTAGCCATTTCTTCTCTGAAATGATAGGAAGTATTTTTTTTTAATGTAAAATTACTTGCAATAGACCTTTGTAAAGTATAATTGATAAGTACTATTATATCATTCTGAAATGCAAAGAATGGATTCATTTTGGACTGCAGAAGACCTTTGTCATTTTCTGAAGAGAAGGAATATTTAGTATTTTCATAATGAGATCATAGAAGTGATGAAAGATGAGAAAGCTAGTTTTAGCTTTTTTGGTAAAATGAAAAATAACAATAATTACAACATTGAAACTCTTTGGTTATAAAGTGAGAATAGAATACTAATACCTTTCAGAAGTTCTTAAAGTGGAATGTAAAAAAAAGTAGCATCTCTTTAAAAATCAGTTATCGTTTGGGCCTCCCCGGTGGCTCAGCGGTTGAGTGGTGGGCTGTGAAGCTGCCTGCATCCTCTGCAGTGCTGGTTCGATCCCCGGCCGCTGGCGAGGTTCCCACATGGCGCGCAGACCTCTCCTGCTGCCCCCACACTGCTCCCCTTCTGTCCTTCTGTCTATTCTGTTCCCCACTCTGGCTCTTCATTTGAAGAGCTAATGCACTATGACAAAGATAGACTCATTATAATAACAAAAAAATGAATTCTAATCTAACCCTTAACACAAACAGTGTTAACAGGTGAATTCTCTCACCCCCCCACGCTTCTGACAGTGCCCAGTACTTGTATAAATAAATAAATAAATCTAAAAAAATTTTATGAAAAAAATAAATTAATTTAAAAAAATCAGGTATAGTTTATGATCTTGAAGAATCTGAACAGTACTTGAAGATATCTTGAGTTCAACTGTATATCTTCATGTGTATTTTCAAAATTTTTAAAAATTTATTTCATAATCATAAACTTAAATCTGTAATCTAGCTAGACTTGGAAGGGGATAAAGAAAATATGGAACCAAATGGTATATCATTTACAAAGATTATAGAGTATTTCAAACAGATGGGGGTAAAGGGAACTCTCCTGAGCTACAGAAGGAATGAACTGATGGTTAATATAAAACACAGATTTATTAAATTTGTTCACAATCAGCAGTGGTTTATTATTAAACTCAAACTCCTTAGTTGGCATTCAGGGCAGTCTCATATCTCATCTCTGCTGACCTTTTACTTTTACCAATAAGTCCTTGTGCTCACCTTCATCCTCACGGCTTTCACAGTGACTTACATTTCCACTAATATGCCACTTGTAGATCTCTCTTGTAGCACTTCTCACTTTTTGCCATTTTTTTGTTATTGTAATGAGTCTATCTTTGTCATAGTGCATTAGCTCTTCAAATGAAGACCTGGTATATCCTTGTATTCCCAGGACTAACACATTTCCTGGTATATCATTCATGATCAGCTAATATTTGACTATGAAAGATGGTTTTTGTCACTAAGCTAGAGACAATCTTGTAAAGATTAAATATAGAACAAATAAACTAGTAAAAGTAGTTTTATCTCTTTAGAGACATTTAAATATAGGTTATGTCCAGAGACAAATAGGATTGAAGAGGGCACAACCTTAGAATATCCTACTTTTTTTTTACCAAAATCATACTGGCGATGAAGGATGGCATGTAACCTGAGTGAATTAGCACACTTAGATAGGAAATGTAACTTAAGTATAAAGAAGGGTTATTTGACAGATATATTTAGGAATAAATGAAGCCATTTGGCAGTAGACTGACTCGAGGAGCATTAGTCCTATTATTAAGTCTATGAGAGTCATACAAGGTGATGACCATGCTAATCAAGAAGAAATAATAAAAGGAGAATTCAGGGAGTGACAGCATACTTGTATTCTTGTTCATACTGTCTTGGACCTGTTAACACTGTTTGTGTTAAGGGTTAGATTAGACTTAACCAGAATGTTCTTGGTTTAGTGGAAAAGAATGCTTAAAGAATGCTATCTGTTGTATGTGAGGGGGTAATGGCTTTATTTTTAAAGATTTATTTATTTATTTATACATGCACTGGGTACAGTCAGAAGTGCGGGAGGGTGAGAGGATTCACCAGAGCCAGAGTGGGGAGCAAAACAGGCAGGACAGAAGTACACTGCTGAGGGGAGCAGCGGGCACGGCAGGAGAGGTCTGCGCGCCATGTGGGACCCTCGCTGGCGGCCGGGGATCGAACCTGAGCTGCAGAGGCTGCAGGCAGCTTCGCAGCCCAACGTTCAACTGCTGCGCCACCAGGGGAGGCCCGTTTGTTTCTATTTTTTATGCTGGTTTATGAGTGACAGTGAATCTGTTATCATTCGGCTCAGTATAGTTGAATATGTGAATGTGTTTATGTAGTTTCAGTAAATACATATTTTGAAAATGTGAACATAACAGTGAGCTGTAAGTTTCAAAAAAATTAAAACTTTTTCTAAATAGGTTTGTTACAGAAAGAGAAAATGGCCATTGAAGCATTTCAGATTTGCTGCCTCCTTCTGCCACCAGAAAATAGGAGAAAGTTACAGCTGTTGATGCGGATGATGGCAAGGATCTGCTTAAATAAGGAGATGCCACCATTGTGTGACGGCTTTGGCACCCGAACACTGGTTGGTTGATACCTAACATCTAACATGACTTGTTTTTGGAAGAAAATTCCCCTGAGTAAAGTTTACTAGGTAGGACAACAGAGGAGAGTACAAGGCAGACTTGCTTGAAGAACCATGACTTCCTTCTACCCAGATGGATATTGTGCTTTTGGTCTTAGTGTCTTAAGAACATAAGGGCAGACTCTGAGTGTAGAGTTACCTGCTGCATCCTGCCTACTGGCAACACAAAGAGAAGAAAGGCGAGACAGGAAGGATAAATGGGCTTTGAAGAACAACATTCTCTTCTTCAGGACAAAAAGGACTGCAAAACCTTTGTTACTATAATCAATCAGAGAGATTAGAAAATATTGTGGGTTAAAGAAGTAAAATACAAACTTGCGCTAGAACACTTGGGAAGAGAGAGAAAACTTGTGTTTCTCAGGGCATGGTCTAAGGGTCCATGAGTATTTCTTCAATATTCTCAATTTTGCTTAAAAACATGCTAATTTTGAATTCTACTTTGTAATGCCTTTATGTGTTTTATAATAGAAATTATATCTAGAATTACTAGCAAAATTTCTTAATTTTCCTGAAAAAAGTTTTAGAGCAAAATTGATGCTCATTAGAATATACATCCTTTCCATGCTCTGGTGAACCACTGTGTATCCCTGAGGATCTGATGGTCCAGAGGATGTGTGGGGTAAGGTCAGGGAGCACTCAGTACCCAGTGGAGTATTTCTTGACCTTATTTTGGATGGGTAGAAGGGCTAATGTACCTTTGTGGACAATTGAAGAAAACTTTGTGCCTATTTCCCAGAAAAATGCATGTGTAAGATTTTGCATACAATTTTAAGTCATTCACAGATTCTCTGGAGTCCATAGTTTCCAGTTAAGAATCTCTGGCTGTGTGTCTCTCCATATGTCTTTTGCAGTATATTGATGAAATCCAGTCTTATGAAACAGAATTACATGATTTTATGCTTACGTGGGGATAGGGGGAAGTTCATTCAGAGGATGGCATTAAGGATGGTTTAGTTAATATGAAGTGTATGGAAGCAGCTGCTGTAACATTTTATATTTCTATGTACTATAAAGAGAATCTTATTCATCATTTAATGCATGTCTTGTAAAATCTCAAGGCTTGTTTGAAGGTGATTGTCAAATATACATCCAAAGTCCTAGATAAAAACTTTTCCTAGGAAAAAATATGCTAGAGGTACACAAACTGCTAGCAGATTTTAAATAATAATGAAATCAGGATTTTATTAGACTAAATAGCTATAAAGAACTTTGAACTTAAAAGTGCTGCATGATCCATGTCATGGTGGTGATAATAATTTTCAGAATTTTTTGTGTGTGTATGTACATATTTGTGTGTGTGTGTGTGTGTATACAACCCCCTTTACACATTTATCAATTTGTTCTGTAAAAGGAGGTACTTTTAAAAGCTGCATAGATAGCTAAGCTTTGGAAACAGCCCAAATGCCCCAAAATAGATGACTGGATAAGAAGATGTGGTACATATACACCATGGAATATTACTCAGCATTCAAAAAAGATAACCACATGCAATTTGCAGCAACATGGATGGAGCTGGAAGGGATCATGCTCAGCGAAATAAGCCAGAAAGAAAAAGAAAAATACCAGATGGTCTCACTCATAGCAGGAATCTAGAAAACTTAAATAAGGGACCAGGAAAAAGAATAACTATAAGAAAGAAAATATCAAAATCAACAAACAACTATGAACCAGAGACACTTTATGGGGTGTGGGGGGCGCGGGGAAAGGAGGGGTTGGGGTCAAAATAAGGGGATTGTAATTATATGGGGAATATAAAAATAAAATTTAAATAAAAAAATAAAAAAATAAAAGCTGCACAGACAAGTATCTCTGCTATGTCTCTGTGAGATGAAATGCACCTTCTTTTAATGCTGGGTGATGAGAAGGTCAGCCCATCTGAAGTGACAGGTGTGTCCAGATGCTAGGTTGAATGTGCACCCTGTGTTGTGGGACATTTCTCACTAATTAGTCAAATTTGCTTTTTTGCTGTTTGCAAATTGGATTGCATTCAGCTCAGAATATGAAGAAGCAGCTCATCTGTGTTTATTTTAAAATCCCCTCACCCCTTTTAGATGGTTCAGACATTTTCCCGTTGCATCTTGTGCTCCAAGGACGAAGTGGACTTGGATGAGTTATTAGCTGCTAGGTTGGTGACGTTTCTGATGGACAATTACCAGGAGATTCTGAAAGTACCTGTGGCTTTGCAGACCTCCATAGAAGAGCGTGTGGCTCATCTACGAAGGGTCCAGGTAAAGGAGGGTATTATCAGTTTTATAACATTGCTGGGGGAAAGTCATGCAAGCATGGTAGGCTACTTAAGATGTTTTTGTTAAATAAGGATTAAGTGCAGTAATATGTACAAAGTGTCCACAGCATGGCTTGGCACCTAGTAAGCACCATATTTGTTTGTGTTATCATTGCACATTTATGTAATGTCTATGTGGGTTTGTTATGTCCAACTGCATACTTTTGATTGCAAATGTCTTAAATGAATTAGTTTAAAATTTACATATACTTTCTGATGGAAATCATTTATGCTTAATACATGAGCAGCCCAGTGATTCATAATAGCCTAGTGGTTTCTTATATGAAAAAGCTCTAATGCAGAGAAAACCTAAGTTAACTTGTCCAAAGCCACAGAGCCAAGATTTAAACTGATGCAGTCTATTTCCAGAAACATTGCTCTTAAACTACTGCACTGTACTGCCTCTACAAAACAGAGCGTGGTCAGAGAACATGGCTTTAGACCATAAAGACCTCGACCACACTCCTGGCTCTGCTCTTTCCTGGTTGTGTGGCTTTGGGCAAGCACCTAAAGCTCTCTGGATTTTAGTTTTGCAAGTATTAAAATGGGCCATTCCTGCTCTATGATATTGTTAAGAAGGTAGAATACCATACTATATACAACCCTTGCAAAACATCTGAACATGGCAGGCACTCTCTGAAAACTAGCTATTATTGTTTCATTGTTAATGTTATGTTAAAGCAATGCAAAAGAAATGTAATCTATTACCATGTGGGCCCAAAAGTGGACTTTGTTAGCCTGTGGGAACAGAAACTTTTGGAAAAGGCTGGCAAGTTTGCTTGGCTCCAGATATCTGAATAATTGGACCTCTCTTCCCTAAAGTGCTTTTTGAGGCTCCACAATAAAGGACCAGTTTACTCCTACCTCCCAAAGTATTATTAAAGTAAATAACTCTTGAACTGTTTCCAGTATACAGTTTAAAAATTAAAAATTTCCTCTATTTTTTGTCACTAACTTAATATATTAAAGGACTTAGGAACTGTAGGCAATATGTTGTCAGTATTACAGTCTTTGAGGTGTTTCTCTCCTTCCTTCCCTTCTTCCTCCTCTTCTGTCTGTCTCTCTTTGATAACTTTCTCTTAACAATACAACAAAAATTTCCACATCATTAAATATTCTTAGTTGACCCTAGAGCAGCCAAGAGCACAGACCTGGATCTAAATGCCCTTTGTCAGCACTGATACCTGGGGTATGTTATTTAATGTCTCTCTGCTTCCACCTCTGCTTACCTTCTCTCTTTTTGCATCTGTGAAAACGGGATATTTATATCATCCTTCTGGGGTTATTTTGGAGATTGAATGGCTTACAAATTGTAAAGTACTTAAAATAATGTTTATTACATAGCGAGCCCTCAGTTGGTAATTATTATCATCACTGTTATTATTGGCAATGTATGAATATATTATGACTTTTTGAAAATTTTTTTGATTTATATTTAGGTCTTTTCCATGTTTGTTTTTTTTTTTTTTAAAGATTTATTTATTTATGCATACAAGAGCTGGGGTACAGGCCAGAGATGCGAGGGCGTGAGAGGATCCATCGGAGACAGAGTGGGGAGCAGAACAGGCAGATTGACCAAAATACACTGCCGAGGGGAGCAGCAGGTGAGACAGGAGAGGTCTGCCTCGCCATGTGTGTTTCTCCCAGGCCGGCTGGGGTTGAACTTGTGCTACAGAGGCTTCGGATTGCTTCACAGTGTGGTGCTTAATCCCTTGCTCCACCAGGGAGGCCCTTTTCCATGTTTTTTTAAGAATAAATTCCTAGCATCTGTAACACATGATCAAAAACAGGACACCTCCTTTTTATACTGCATAATGAATGTATTTTAAGTATTGGCTGCATGTTGCCAAACTTCCCTCTAGAATGATTGTTCCAGTTTATATTCCTATCATTGGTTTAAGAAAATGTGCATTTCATTGCATCTTTGCCTACTTTGAGTCTTATCATTAAACACACATATGTACCATTGCCTTGATATTTTTACAAGCCAAACTTTCTTAAAAAATTAAAAAGAAAGTAAATACTTGTATGAACTTCTGCAAGGAAAAGTGATAGCAGTAACTATGTTGCTTGCACACTCATGCAGTTTGTGTTTGCACACTCCACAGGCGTGCGTGTCCTGTATAGCATCTGCACTGTAGTCCTGCAGGCTTTGTGTTCAGGTGAAGAACAGAAGCCTGAGCTATGATGATTGATGCAGGGTGACATGAGCTCGTGAAGAGGCACTGTGATGACTGAATAAAATCAGCAACTCTCCACCACTGATTGTCCAATTATTTTTTTTACTTAGAAGTACTCAGTAGAATAGCCAAATAATTGTTAGTTTTATGGCACCTGTACATGGTTGTTCTCTCATGCAGGCTCTCAGCCTATCACATGTAGGGCAGAGCTTCTCTGGGAGTAAACAGTTCTAGTGACTTGTTTTGGGGCTGTTTCTGGGCTGAAGCTGGGCTAGGTAAGTTATGGGAGGCAGCCCGTAGCTATCTATTTTTCTCATGTCTTTGGCTTCTGGCTGTCACACATTACCTGAGCCTTACCCTTTATTCTGGTCCTTTCCTGTTTTCTCTCATCTCCTTCAAATAAAAAAGGAGGTGTCCTGTGTATTTCTCTTTCCCTTTTGTTTCTGGCCTGTGTCTCTGGGTTGTTTCTCACTGACCTGGTAAACTCATATTAAGGCATAGAGTGTACTTGGTGTAATCTCCCCTCTTGGTAACATATTTAGTTTAAACTGTGCCTTCTGGAAACAATTTTTTAAAAAAAGAAGTGAGGGCCTCCCTGGTGGTGCAAGGGGGTAAGACACAACCTATGAAGCTATCCACAGCCACTGCAACATGAGTTCGATCCCTGGCCTGGGAGCTACCCACATGGCACAGCAGACCTTTCCTGACTCACCCACTGCTCCCCTCAGCAGTGTATTTCAGTCAATCTGCCTGTTCTGTTCCCCACTCTGTCTCTGGTGAATCCTCTCACCCCCCCCCACACACACCTCTGGCCTGTACCCCAGTTCTTGTATGTGTAAATAAATAAATCTTAAAAAAAAGAGAAGTGAATGTAATAGAAATTTTATCCACTGAAGAATAGTAGGTGTTATAATTTTGAAGAGATGAACCTCTTATACTCTGAAATTAAGTATTTTTATTGGATGCTCATTTGTTCACAGGTGTTGATACCTTTTTTTTCTCCTTAGTTCTCCTCCTCCCACTTGCCCTGTGTAGCGTCTGCTCTTTTTTTGTTTTTGCTTCTAACATTTTTGGAAATGGTTGGGTACGTCTCTCTAAATAACATCTGAGCTAAGTAGGTGCCTCTGTCATCCTAAAGCCTTGGAGGGAGTGTCAGACTCTCCAGATGTGGGAAGGCACCTGGGTAGTTCACAGTGTGTGCTCAATATTGTAACTGTTTTGAATTCTTTTTGTCCACATGTTTAGTTTATGTGTAAATTTCAATCTTATTAAAAGAGGGCACATGGTTTTTTGTTTATTAAAATGACTCAAGTTTAAAAGGTAAAATCTCTTATTTAAAACTGGCTTTAAGTGATTTTTTTAAATTATGGATAAACTTTTCAATATAGTTTTCCCTTGTCAAGTTGTGAGGAATGTTATGGTATTCCTGCCAGGAATATATTGTATTTGATCTGAACTAACTTTGATAATTTATTTGAAAATACACGTTTCCCTTTCTCCACTAATCCTTTTGCCTCAGATAAAATATCCAGGAGCTGATATGGATATTACTTTATCTGCCCCATCATTTTGCCGACAAATTAGTCCAGAGGAGTTTGAATACCAAAGAGCATATGGCTCTCAGGAACCACTGGCAGCCTTGTTGGAGGAAGTCATAATAGACACCAAACTCTCTACCAAAGAGAAGAAGAAAAAATTGAAGCAGGTAAAAAGGATATTCTTCAAAAGTCATTTCTTCTTCTCTCTACTCTTAGGTGGTTATTTTTCTATTTATCCTCAATAGGTTTCCATATGAATCTCATTTGAGACATAGCAGGTTTGAAAGTATATTATTTGGTCTGTATGTCCAGGAATTTCGTTGTTTTACACAGTGGATGCCAGTTTTCCTAGCTCTTTATTCTCCAGTGTAGATCTTTTACCATTATTGAACTCTTCATCTCAGTTCCCCAGTATTTATTCCCTGTTTTGATAATGTGGTATGATGTACGCAAGCAATTATTTTAAGTTTGAAGAGCATCTGCCAAGTGAGGACAAATTGTTTTGACTTTTTGAAAGAGTAAATCAGACTACCTTTACAAATGTAAAATGTCTAGAATTTAATAAAACCTTTGCTTTAGGTAACCATTATAAAATTGGTTTCTTATCTCTGGCATTACTAAAAGTTTTTAGTTCCTGCTAGGCAATATGACGTGGGGTTACTGAGAAGAGTTTTCAACTCAAAAATAGGTTTACTTTGACCAGTCTTAAAATATTGATCCAAGGTCATGTAAATGCTTCTTATTTTTAATGACTGAATCCTGTCTGCATTGCTTGATTCCTGATCATAGCATATAAAATTGGGTTATACACAGAGCCGAGTGCTACATTCCCAATCATACTTCACTCAGAGTAACTCTGGAGTAGAGTTCAATGGTTTTTATAAAGTAATATGTACCAAGTTGCTTTTTCTTCCATTTGAGCAGAACAGGTTGGGGCTGAGTTGGACAAGCAGGGAGATGGTGAAATATATTTGGAACAAAATTTTCTATGTTAAATACAAGTTATTTTTTAAGTCAGAGTTATTTGGCAGTGGGGGAAATTTTAAGAAATATGATTGAAAGAAGTTTATTTACAGATTAGGTCATAGTAAAGATCACCTATAGATCTATAGAAACTAGAACCAAACTATTTAACAAAAAAAAAGTGGATTTGTATTGAAATGAATTTGATTATGATCTATTTTCTTAACTGTTCTCTTTTCTGATGGAAAGCCATAAACTTTAAAACAGGAAAATATGGGATCAGAAACTCTGATTTTTAAAGCATTATTTTATTGGCTTTTATCTTTTTTTTTTTCCTGCCCTTGGATCTTTTTTTTTTTTTAGTTTCAAAAATCTTATCCTGAAGTCTACCGAGAACGATTTCCTACGCCAGAAAGTGAAGCACTTCTGTTTCCTGAAAAGCCGAAACCAAAACCACAGCTGCTGATGTGGGCGCTAAAAAATCCTTTCCAACCATTTCAAAGAACTAGAAGTTTTCGAATGTAATACTTCTATAGCCATTAGAGATGTCTGCTATGGCTGTTTTGAATAAATGGGTGAATAGAAGAAAGGATTATGATGATGGAAAAATGAAGCGCATGAAATAGACTACTGAAATATAAAGATTATCTGATTTCAAAAAATATCGAGCCATTTCAGTATTTTTATAAAACTCATTGCTGTTTTTAAGTGTGCAAATTACTTAAAAATTATGAGACAAGCAGATAGTGGTAATGTTAACATGCTTGTAATTGTTACAAAATTTAAAGGTATTTTCATTTATTTGTTGTTTTTCATGGTGTTTATAAAATACTTGAGTGTACATCCTAGTTATGGATGTCTTTGTTACAAGCAGGTCTTAATAATAGTGTATATACTTGAACAAGAAAGGCACTGAGTACTGTTACTGTGATGCTATTGACTTAATAGCCAATTGTGACTTCTTGTAAATTCTGTTTGTCATTGTTGCACAAAGATTTTTGATGTCCTATATTATAACTGTCTTTTATTGCAGATTTGTTAAATGGTATGGCAGATTTACTAAAGCTGGTTCTTTTAAAACATATATATTAGTCGGTGTTTACCTTGCGTGGAATAGATTTTCATCTGCCTGCAGTGGTATAATGTTAGTCTTGGCTGTAGATGGAAAATTAGAGTGGATAAATTTATACAGTTCCTTAAACCTGCGATTCTAAGTGAAAATCTTGTTTCATGGAAAATACAAATGGGTTAAGTAAAATGAGACTACTGCTACTTCCTTCATAAAGATATTTTCCCAGCCTCCTCATCCATTTGAAAGTAAATGGAATGTAAATAAATACTTTTTTTTTTAATACTGCACCTGGTGATTCTCTTTTGGCATTTAAGCCAGATGGCATCCTCAAAATGCTATTATTGCAGCACTATTTACAATAGGTAAAACCTGGAGACAACCCAAATGCCCAAAATAGATGACTGGATCAAGAAAATGTGGTATATATACACAATGGAATATTATTCAGCAATCAAAAAAGATATGCCATTCGCAGCAACATGGATGGAGCTAGAAGGAGTTATGCTCAGTGAAATAAGCCAGAAGGAAAAAGAAAAATATTGGATGGTTTCACCTATAACAGGAATATAGGGGAACCAAATAAGACATCAGTGTAAAAAAAAAATAATAGCAGTACAAAACACAACAAAGCAAAAACAGACAATCATATATCAGAGACATATTGCAGGGGAGGAGGAGGGAGAGGGATCAGAGAGAGAGAGGGAGCAGCATGGGAGACTGGTGATGGTGTGCGGGTGCCTTGGGGAAGGAAATTCTATGGGGACTCAATCTAAGGGGGTGGGAGGAAGCAAATATTGTTTAAAAATAAAAAAATTAAATTAAAAAAAATTCTAAACAGCATTGCCTGACTATTGTTCTCATGTCAGTCATTGGTATGATAAAATGTTGCAACAGGAACTTTGCTGTCACTTTGCTGCATGAATGTTGAGGGTCACAACTACCGTGGAGCAGGTTTGCAAGGCAAGCCTCTGTTTGAGCAGAAGCAGACGTTCTTGTGCCATTTATTGAAAGCATACAGGCTAGTAAAAGCTGATCATGTGACGATGGTATGAGGAATAAAGTTTGGAGGGTGGGATAGGAATGGGGTTCGAAGTTTTACGAGGGACAGGGAAGGGGACATTGTGACCATATGTCAAGAGACATTTGTGTCAGCAGAGTATTTGATGTTATCACAGGCAGAGTTATCCTGAGACTGCCATGGAGATAGCCACGTAATCAGGTCAACAGTGGCCTAGGTGTCCTCGGGCCTGTCTCGTGATATGAGCTATACGCTGTAGGTAGTCAAGGAATTCTCTGCTGTGATTTGTAGATAGCAAATAGGCCACAGTTGTCCATGAGTGGCCTGCTAGTAGCCAGCTCCTAGGAAGTCACAATAAAATAAGTGACAGTGGATTTGTCCGCTAGCTTTTGAGAAGGTGTTTTGTCCATTTCTTTTGCTTTGCTATGCCCTTTTGCAAATAGTGGTCCACTTAGATTATGGGGCACCTGGAAGACTTTTTCTGAGAGTAATTACAAAAAACAAAAACAAACCAAGGGTAACACTAATTGGCTTGCGCTTATCTTTGCACTGATATTTCTTTGCACTTGAGATCTGACCCTGTTCTTTTTGTAGCAGAATGCCTCCTAAAATGGACTCAGATGTTGCTTATTTAAAAATGGATAGAAGTATTCCTATTGGCTGATGCTCCCCTAACCTTCCAAATATGGAAATTATGGGAAACTACTAGTTTTTGAGTATTTATTCCCAGACCTTTGAGTTCTGCTCAGCGCAAAGAATAAGTACTTTCTATTTGCTGTCCAAGGTAAAATTTACTTTAGGAGAGAAGTCCCCTCTATTGCTTATGTTTGGAAATATATTTTGCTGTTTCCTTTCTTTTTTCCTCAAGATCATTTTTTTAAGTTTAATATACTTGAGAGATTATAAGCATCACTACCACCTGCATGTGAAATTGATTGAGTGGATAATACAAAGTTTTCCAAAGTGATTGTACCAATTAGTGCTCCTGTCAGTAGTGTATGAGTTATTTTTGCTTACCATCCTCACCTAAACTTGCTATTGGCAGTTTGGATTGTTGTCAGTGTGGTTGATGTATGTATGATGGGTAATATGGCTGAAGATTTTTGTGCATATTTTAACATCAACTAGTCAGACTGAAGATTCACACACACACATGCACAGTTTGAAACTTTGATTTGGGTTGTACTGAATCTATAACTCAATTCAGAGATAATGCTATCTTTATAATATTAAGATATTAAGTCTTCCAGTCCCCGAACATGTTTTGTCCCTCCATTTATTTAGAATAAGTGAGAAAAAAAATTCTGTTTCTCTGTGAAGGTTTGCATATCTTTTTGTTCCTAGGTATACTTAAAAAAAGGTATACAAAAAATTTTTGATACTTAAAGAAAAGTCAGTATAAAAATTTTCAAATATATGCAAAAAAAGTAAAGATATTTACCCTTAACCTCAGCAGTTATTGTTCAGTTGCTGCTTTGGTGTTTGTAAAGGATTGTTGTTTATATATAGTGTAAAACTGATTTCTGTACCCGACAACTTTGTTAGGCTTTCCTATTCGAAACATCTAGTGTGCTGCTTCTGGATTTTCTGTATTCATCACACAAGAACTAAATAATGACAGTTTTGGCTTTTTATTTCTGCAGTGGCATTTAAAAGTCCCCTGCCTCCTGGTATTTATACCCTTGTGAAATCTCTTGAGTATGGCTTATAGCTAGTGAGCCACTTCTTTTTTTTTTTTTTTAAAGATTTATTTATTTATTTATACAAGAATCAGGGTACAGGCCAGATGCGCAGGAGGGTGAGAGGATTCACCAGAGACAGATCGGGGAACAGAACAGGCAGATGGACTGAAATAAACTGCTGAGGGGAGCAGCGGTTGAGAGAGGAGAGGTCTGCCGTGCCATGTGGGACCTCGCTGGGCGGGATCGAACCGCAGCTGCAGAGGCTGCAGACAGCTTCACAGCGCTGCGCTCAACCGCCTGCACCACCCGGGGAGGCCCTAGTGAGCCACTTCTAATAAGTAGAATCTGGCAAGAATTCATGGGAAATCATGGTATATTATTTTTGAGATGAGATTACAAAAATACTTGCTTCCATCTTGCTTGCTTTTTCTCATTCTCCTGGCTTTTTCTGAGGAAAGCCAGCTGCCATCTTGTGAACTGCCTAATGGAGAGGCTAAACAAGGAACATCTGGGTGCCCAGTAGCCAGCAAGTACTTGAGACCTGCTGACAGCTATTTGAATGATGGTGGAAATGGACCTTCTGAGGCCAGCCAACAGCCATGTAAGTGATCTTGGAAGTGTATTGTCCCCTAGATGAGCCTTGAGAAGAAGGCAACCTAACTGACATCCTAACTGCATATGAGAGACCTTCAGCTGGAAGATTCAACTGAGCTCCATCTGGGTTCCTGACCCATGCAGATGATGATGTTTGTTGTTTTAAGTCAGTTAATTTAGGGGTAACTTGTTATGAAGTGATCAATATACTTACAAATTCTTAGATCAATCCTCCCAATTCCTTTTTCCCTCCTTTAATTTTTTTTTAACCTCATGGCTCTGGAGACCTCCAGTATAACGGTGAATAGGAATGGGAATTGTGGCCATCAATGTCTCGTTCTTGGGTACCTCATCAAATGAGTATTACATAGAAAAAGTGTACTACAGCAAATATTTATGTTTGACTATATCCACACACTGTTGTATTTCTTCATCTGCTTTCAGTGAGTCATATTTAGATGTAGCAAATGTAGTAGACATTTGGGTCATGACTTAGCATTATTCAGGAGCTTGATTCTGATATCCCATATGTAGAATAGAATTTCTCTACACTTTATAGGAAACATAGAGAGAGCTGATATTCCTGAACTGCTTATGTATGTACAGAAGAGGAAACTAAGTATAAATTTTGTAGAAAAAATATATTACCTGGGATTGGAGTGGATGTATTCATTAATTTAGCAGTATACTTTTATGAGTAACTCCTGATGGAATTTTGGTGTTTCAGTTAATGTAAATTTCATAATGTCCTAGTGAATCAAAGATTTAGTCAAATATTTATTTACAGTTTTCCAAAGTCTACCTTAGAGAATTGTTCAGTGAATTGTTTGCTTCACTTGATGATCTAGAATAAACTGTTTTCCATAAACCAAAAGTTATATATGTATTTGGCTAAGTCTATTCATTTTATAATACCTCTTTTGGTACTCCTCTATCAAAGCTGAGAACATGTATAGAGCCTCTTCTGGAGAACATAACACATGTTATTCTCTCCTCTTCCAACCCCCACAAATTTCACATAAATCGCTGCCAGCATTTCTCTTAATAATAATAAAGTCTTCTTATATTCTAGTAAAACAAAGCTTTATTAAAAAAAAAGCAGGACTAAAGATCATTTTATTTTCATAATAAATAAGTTAACCACAGTTAACACTTAAAATTGAAGTGCTTTTATTTTAATCAGTGTAGGCTAATCCACCATGGGAATAAAGAAGTCTTTTGCTCAGTTTCCATTAAGGACTTTTGACCTTTTGAGAGGACCTAGCAATAAGCATTTCAGTGATAATGTACAAAAGAGCAAAACTGCTGCTAAAAAATAATTATGCCAACGTAGACTTTTCTTAGAGCCCATGATTCCACTTTATCTCTAGTTACTGATTTCTATTTCTGTGTATCTATTATTTTTAAACAGAGCTGTGTTAGACTCAATTATTAAAAAGCAAATTATGAGGGAGATATTTTGAAGATTTAAATATGTGAATGAAAGCTACTTAAATGAGATTTTAAAATGTACCAGTGCAGGCTAATCTACCGTGAGAATAAAGAGGTCATTATGAGGCAGAGGAAAACAAATGAAATCATTCTTCTTGCCTATTTCTGGGCTCTCAGTTCAATCCCATCAGTCTGTGTGTCTGATTTTGTTCCAGTACCATACTGTTTTGATTGTCATAGCTTTGTAGTATAGTCTGAAATCTGGGCAGGTGATACTAGCCACTCTTCCTCTTTGTTTGTCAGGATTGTTTTTTGCTACTTTGGGTCTTTTGTGGTTCCATATTAATTACAGTAATGTTTGTTCTATTTCTTTGAAGAATGCCATTGGTGCCTTGATAGGGATTGCATTGAATCTATATATTGCTCTGGGTAGGATGGCTATTTTAACAATGTTAATTCTTCCAATTCATGAGCAGAGACCACCTTTCCTTTTTTGTGTGTCTTCTATTTCTTTTAACAATGTCATATAGTTTTTATTGTACAGGTTCTTCACTTCCTTTGCTAACTTTACTCCTAGGTATTTCTTTTTTGTTCATAGGGTTTTTGATACTTAGAAAATGTTTCAAGACTTTTCTAAATATAACCTATATAACCCTTAAAATGGTCTACTCTGGTTGGATTATAATACTTCATTTTTAACTCTTTAAAACACTGACATCATTTGTAAATTTCTTTAAATTTTCTACTTATCAAAATATTAAGTACAATAACTAAACACAGTTATTGCTTAAAGATGATGAGGGTTTTGCTTTTGGAAAGTTCCTCATTCTTACCTTTTCACAGAGAAATGGATTTGCTGATCTTGTAAAACCCCAGAAAGTATCTGGTTTAGGCTGAATTTTCACAAGTCATCATCCATCCAACAAAGATAGATGTTCCCAGTAGAGGTCAGTGTTGTGTTGGAAATTACTATAACATAAAAGAAAAACTAGGAAGTTAATTTAAATTCCAGTATATTTTATGTAAATAAG